TAAAATTCTACTATGCTCCATCTAGTAAGAACAGCTAATGGTTTTAATTTAATAGTATTCTGACAATGTGTCTCTGAATTGCATTGTCCAGAAAAGATGACCACCACATTTTTTTAACCACTGGGTTTACACCACACCATGCCCTGGAAGATCTCAAGGTGCCCTTAAATGGGCATGTAACCATAGAGACAAGATGCCCTTGAATGGGCATGTCACCATAGCAACAAGATATGCTTAATAGTAACCTCTGTAATGAAGATGGATGTAGGTATTATATATATATATATATATATATATATATATATATATATATATATATATATATATGCATGCACACAAGAAATTCAAGGTACAATTGGGACAGTTACCATATTTAGTCATGAGGTATATCCTTAGCAACGAGGTAGATATGGAAGTATAGCCCTATATCATTTTTCCTGAACAAAAATCATAAGAAGAGTGCCTTAATATTCTATTGCTCACGCTGCTGTAAAACACTTGTATCAAACAAACAATTGAAGTTAATGATCAGAATATTTTTACCCCATTTTATCTCTAGCAAAATATAAACATATGACTCCATTTCCATCTACAAGGGCATACCATACTTTATTATTTAACACCATTATTTCTAGTGTTACATTCAATGTTGAATGTAGTGCTATAAACTATTCTTATTTCAATTAGGGCTCTTCTGTTGTACTGTACCTGAGACCTTTGGTGGATGAACCCAAGAACCCCGATTCCCATACCCCTGAGAAAATAACATCGAAGTTAACAGGAACAGTTAGTAGTAGCTAAAAATGGAAACTACAAAGAAACAAATGCAAAAATAAAAGAAATGAATTCCCTGGCAGCAATATCAGTGTGTAGCACACACTTTTATATTTGTCTGATCTTTTTGTCCTTTTTTTTATATTTTACATAAAAACCTCAGTTTATGACCACCAAGAAAAAATAATAGAAAAAAGAAAGCATAACCCATTTTGCGTCCAATTATTATATTTGTATCAAATGACTAACATAACACCCCCATTAAGTAACTTAAAAAAGTCAAAAGAACAAGCCGTGTTATCTGAATTTAGCTCATGAATGGTAAATATTTCCATATGCATTCCTGAACACAGATGCACTGTGGCAGTTTTTAAAACCACCTCAGTATTTCTGATAAAAACAAGAACATTAAACCACAGAAAGTAAGGAAAAGGATTAGTGATCAAATATTTTCCCTCAAATTTTCTTTTCTGAATTTCAGTAAGTTTATACAGTACTGGCCTATATCAAATAAAATCAAAATTATTCTAGAGAACTTGCCATATCGTGTTTACATGCAAATCTGGGCCCCGTAACTTGAAAGCATCGTGCATTGTGACCGAACGCAAGTGTCTCAATTCCATAACTCGCCCATACTCGCCCCATATAATACACTGTAGCCTATATGTGATATCGCTATTCGCAATATGCGATGCTTTCGAGTTCAGGGCCCTGATTAACTTCAGCGAGAGTCCCTGTAGAGTTGGAGTGATCTACATAGACCGTTAGTTTCAATGGGAAAGAGCCCATAGACATCTTTTCTTAACATGATGTGATAAAACCCATGAACACCAAACCAGCTATGTTATTTTGAAGAACCCAAAGTGCATTGGATAAGGGAGAAAATTTCCATTTGTTATTAATATTTTTTTTACAATTAAGCCAACTTCTCATAGCAATTAATTCTGTTATCACAAAACCAGAATATGACATTTCTAAAAAAATGTTGGAGTTGTGTCAAAAATTGTTTCGTCTCTTTCAGTAAATTTGAGATATAAACCAGATAAAAAGGAACAAGTTGAAACTTGTGATTAGATAGCATACCCTGTACAGATCGACTTCTATGACATAAAATGAAATGCATTGAAACATAATAAAAGGAGGACCACCAGCATAAACTTATACCAAACAATCAATAAATTGATTTATCAATGAATTTATTTATTCATCTACTCTGTGTGTATGAAGGGGCAGGGGAGATGACTTAAAACTGCTTTTGTGTAACTTTTAAACAAAAGACCTATACCTCTCAAGGGATGATTCAACTTTTAATTTCCCTCATAAACAAGCAGTGACCAAGTAGAGCTTCCACAGACTTCAACCATTCAACCACTGTTAGTGAACTCCTCGGGTGTTGGACCTCACTGGAAGAAGGATGACCCAGCAATGACCTGATGTTTTTTTATCTCCTTGCTATATCTCTTATGTCAAAAGTGTTATCACAGTTTAATCATATCCCAAAAGAAAAAGTAGAAAATCATATGCCGCATATGCAAACAACACCTGCAGGTATGGATGGAAGCACACTAAAAGTACACTTCACTTTTCACCCCCTCCCCCTTCTAACTTCTTGGTATTCACTTACTATGTACCAAAGGAACTTAATGTCATTATCTAACCTTACTCCCATTTTTTTCATGTGGAAAAGTACATACAACCTTGGGAGTATGGAAAATTCAAAGAGAAGGGAAAATTCATAGTGCGACTCGATAGCTATTCTAGAATTAAGTATCTCGTTCAAGATCTTTACTTTGTTAACCCCAGTTGTGTGCGTGTGCATGCATGCATATCTAAAATGGATATATGCAAACACCTCCATAGAAAACTACCTACATGTAATAAATGTAAGCCACTGACACAACTTGGATACATCCCCCTATAAAATATTCAGTCTTAATATTGCTATCCGTAAAGTGCACAGGACCTTCGATTAAAAGTACCCGTATCCTTCATGCCTGTTAATGTAATGGAAGAAGACTGTTATGCTGCTCAGGCGATGCTCCAACAAAAGGACCACAGATACATCAAACTGGCCGTGAGTGTGCCAGTGGCAGATGTAAAGTAATAAGCTATCAAATCAATCTGTTCACCCCCAGCTCTTGCTGATGCTGGTATCATAAATATTCTGGTCATGTAGTACTGGCCATTGACACCTGGTGTCCATATACCACTGCTGTAGATTATGATCTGGATGATTGAGGTACTGACATGATTTAGACAAATCCAAATCCCCCCCCCCCCCCAAAAAAAAAAAAAAAAAAAAAAAAAACAAAAAACATAATAAGAAACTGTTTTCAAAAAATATCTCATTTCTTTTTGAAAACATTTTCTTCTTATGTCCTCCCCCCCCTTTTTTTGAGGGGGGGAGAAGGCGAGGGGGGTGGTTAATTATTCAACTTGTTACAGATAAACAAATCTGAATCCATTTTTTGCTGTGGGTTTTTTTATATCGAAAATGAAGTTGACTGCCCCATTAATCTGTACAACAGCAAGGACTTGTTCCTAACTTAAAACATTTCAGCTTTGAACATACATATCCACTGTTTACCAGATAACACAGGCATTTGGCATACTACATAGGCCTACCAGCACATCATAAAGGGTGCATACAGTTGCTTAAAAAAAATACCCAATCCGTTTTGTTGAGAGAGTGGCCTCAAACTGGGTCCTAGCCTTAATTACCAAAGGTGGAGACGAATCTGTTTGTCTAGTAATGGTTTTCAAAAATCAAAATAAATTTTAGTAAAAAAAAATGCGATAATGACCACATGATGACAGGCATGTCTCCATGTCCATCCCTGCATGGTGTAAAATACTCCTTTATTTTGATCCATCTTTGTATGCATCAGTCCCGGTCAGCCTGCCAATATTACTTGAAAAATAGACACCACTATCATTGATTTTTTCCTCCCAAGAACAGAGAACGTGTCAAAGTAGTCAACCAGTATGTTATTTTTTGAAGAGGCAAGTCACTTTGATTGTTAGAGATGCTTTAATGTCACATTATGTTGACCTAGATTAGGATGAATTCCAACAGATCGATTCCAATTCATTTAACGAGCCAAGATACCTTTTTGTAATTTAAATAGAGTGCTGATATGGAGGCTCTGGCTGCCATTACATAATTTAAAGAATTTTATCCCAGTGTCTGAGATATGACCCCATTTTTTTTAGCAAAATAACCTATCACAAAGGTCGTTGGTGGTTTCAGCAAGACAGAAATATACATGTACCATTGAAAAGGTTTAGATGGAGACAATATGTTATGAATGGCTTGGAAAAGTTTATGCTGGTGGATGCTCCTAATATATTCATAACCAATAATAATAATAATAATAATAATAATAATACACCATCCTGATTATAGCTGACCAACTGTGATTTTTCTAGTATAGATGTTACATCTTTTTGATTGGTCAGTGGCATATTTATATCAATTTATAAACATGAAGAAATAAAATGGAAATAGATCTTAAATGGTATAAAGTGAGTGGTGGTATTGCTGGGAAACTATTTGCTGCATTAAGAATTAAATGATATAGGACTTATGATATTTAAATACTGCAATAGCAGTGAAGAGGTGGAGAGGTACTTATTGTTGAGGTCAGACATTTTTCACGGACTATCCCTGCCATAACTTATTCAGCCCAGAGGTTTATTACATATAATCATACTATTTACTATCCCATCTGATACACCCTAGCCCATTTATAAAAAAAAAATCAAAAATAAAATAAATAAATAAAAATTAAGCCAAGAATATATCTAAAAANCAATAGCAGTGAAGAGGTGGAGAGGTACTTATTGTTGAGGTCAGATATTTTTCACGGATTATCCCTGCCATAACTTATTCAGCCCAGAGGTTTATTACATATAATCATACTATTTACTATCCCATCTGATACACCCTAGCCCATTTATAAAAAAAATCAAAAATAAAATAAATAAATAAAAATTAAGCCAAGAAAGAAAAAAACATAACAGAAACAAAAAATACTATTCAAAATCTGAAGTGAGAAAACTGTGATACAATGGACATAATAAGCAGGATTACACTGGCCAACATGTAAAATTTGAAATGATTTACGGACATTATTTAGTGCAGACTAAGTTGAGCTAGACAGACACCAGGTCTTAAAACACACAGAAAGCATATGAAAGAAATGAAAGAGAACAGAAGCTGCAAGTGATAATAATAATAATATATCTACGAATAGACTATCATTTAATATTTCAATAGATCCACAAACCCCACCAGCTGGTTTTGTATATTGTAACCGGCAAGGATCAGGATATATGTATGTATATATATATATAAAACAAAGTTATCCCTGAGATGATATATCCCAATATATAATAGATGATAATAATATAAGTATATACTGTCAAGACATGAGAATTAATTTTATACACAAAAAAAAATTTGCTGGGGACTTGGGCATTCCGAAGTCTTTTCCTATAATTCTACACCTATAAATTCTATTTTATTATTATTAAATTATATCTTGAAATGCAAGATCCACCTGCACCAAGACTGAGGAATACACAAGTGACCAGCAAACATGCCACAGACGTGATACAAAAGGACCAACAGTCACCCTGTAGTACTGTGGAGTCTACGTGTGGACCCAGGCTAAAATATCTTAAATCCAGGCTCAAACATTTCGACCCAGGCTCCAAGTTTAAGAACCAGGCTCAAACATTTAGAACCAGGCCATTACATTTAAATCCAGGCTCAAACATTTAGGCCCAGGCTCAAACATTTAGACCAAGTCTCAAACACAGTGGAAATGAGGGGCAGATTACCGTATAGAAAATATGAAAGAGAGGTCCAAATTTGAACCGCTAACAGTACTGGCATAATATATCATCTGCGTTTTGAGGTATGTCTTAAGTTTTTTTATGTGTTGAGGTAGAGGGGGTGGAGGGGGAGGAAGATATACCCCCCTGGAAAATGTTGTAATAAAATAACCACTGGTTTGAGAGTCAGTACAACAGGGCAATAGTTTGGTACCATTATCCACTACTCCTACAGCAACTACTACAGCCCTGCTCATAACAATACCCTCATATTAGCCACATGGTGACAGCTCATCCAAAGTGCATTCCCTTCTTCAACCATCTCGTCATATCTGATGTGACAGAGACTAGGCATTCAATATTGGAACACAAGAAAGCCTTCTTCTAGACTTGACAATGACTGCTACGTTGACATCTACTCACATAATATTTGTACTTTATTTGGAAACCTATCACAAATGGCTTAATATATAGGTTATGAGCAATACTGGAGTTTGGTGCAACATTGTATCATAATTATAATAATTACAGGTAGATAACTAGATTATTCCCTGAAAAGTCATGTATTATCTTCTGTCGTCACCATCTTCATGATGGCACCACTTATTGTCGTATAAATGAAGAGTATCTTCAACAGAGGTAGATGTCTTATTTTTTTCTTTTGACCTCAAATGGCCTTGACCTTGGAAGGCAGTCTTGACCTCAAGGTCGTGACCGCTTCTGGAGTAAAAGTTGCCTTAAGGAGTTTGCTTCTTCTCGCAAAGTAGCAACCTGAGCACGCAGAATTGCATTTTCTTTTTCCAAAAAACTAGCCCGTATGGCAATTTCATCCTCCCGTGCTTTCCTGGCATCCCGTGATTTTTTGGCAGCACAATTGTTTCTTTTCCTTCGCTCGAAATACTTGTCATCTTTTGCTTCATCTGGGATGGCTTTTTTCTCACTTCTGGGTCGTTTCTGTGTCTGTTGGGTGGCTGCCAGGGCATGTGCCACTGCTGGAGACGTGGCTGCTTGGAGATCTGTGGAAAAAAGAAGTGATACAAAAATTAGGAAAATCATTTTTACACCTTTATTGATGTAAATTATCAATAAAAAGGTTAAACTTTCTAAATTCTGAATGCAAGTTTTAATGTATGTTAACAATGTTATTCTAAATCTACCTGGAAAGATGAAGTCAACACAATTTTTAGACTAATAATATTTGTAACTTGGCAACAGAGGTAATATATAAGCAATAGCAGATAATAAATACTTTGATCAGAAAAAAAAATCATCAAAGTTATCTATCTGCTACTGATCAAGAAACTTGAAAAAGTTGAAAAGTTCATACACAAGCATCAATGGAAGGCGTGTTTGGATTAGGTAAGAATGTATCATGTCCTAAAGCATTCCATGTAATAACAGTACTACCAAATTCTTGGTTGTCCAAGGGGCCACCACATCTTTTTGACAGGTGCTAATCAAGTTATATGCATGGTCAGTAAATACAGACAAGAAGAAGCAATGTCCAGTCACATTATTCACATAACAGTGCTCAAAATTTCATGACATGTGGTCATTAACAGCAATGACCATATGTCTTGAAAACAAGCTAGCTAACTTGTTTTCTTTCAAAAACACCAACACCAAAATTACACCTTCAGTCAACAATGGATGTGTCCGAAATAAACAAGCTCGTTTACTCTTATTACTTTTCATTCAAAAACCCCTAACTCTGAAAAATGACAGCATTCAGTGAACTTTTGAACCTCTCCCAGCCAGAATGTCACAACACGCAATGGTGGCAGACGTAGTCTGAGCGGAAAGCATCAGAACTGCCCAAGGTGGGATGTTTTTGTGACATAATTATACATTTCCATGACTTGGAATGAGAGGAGAGTGGGGGAAGGATGTTGATTATCCAACTGGGACCTGGTTATTTTTGCCCCACTGCAGTGGGCTGACATGTAAAATGGGCAGTTTTAGACCTATTTTAGATCTAGGCAAATATGTGCCATGAAAATTTTAGCTTTACAAATACTAACTGTGCCGCAGCAATCTGGGATTTCCATGATGCAAGAAGTCAAATTTGTGGTTTAAAATGGTCCCCATGTGAATGCAAACTTGTACTGCCTCACACCAAATATTTCTGTTGTCTAATATATTCCCATTTCTCAAAGTTTTATTTAATTTAATTGGAATCGAATTGGAATTCATTAAGAGTACATGCAAACACTGTGTAACAATATGTACTACCTTCTGTTGTCCAAATTTGAAACCAAGCTGAATCGTTTTTCTATAATTCTGATTATATCTTTTCCAGCAGTCCTAAATATTAAGCATTCCAATCGGTATTCTGATGACCAACTGCTTTAGACAATTTTAATTAATTTCATAACTGATTTCATACTGTTCACCAACTTCAACACTACTTCTTTTTCTTTGGTCGAGTTTGCTTAAAATGTTTGTTTAATATTTCCCTTTGCACAATATTTCACCATATGTATTTTTTTCAATCACAGCTAGGTATCCCACCTCTTAAAAGCAGTGAAATGAAGCCGGGATCTCCAATCAATTCCAGTAGAAAGTAACTCCGAAAGCCATCAGTTCAGTTCAATTTTGATCCTAGGATCAATTAGAGTTCCGATGATGTGGGATAGTAGAAGTACGACTAATCATTATGTACTGAGGTTTCCCTTCTCATAACACCTTGCTCTCTTTTTTTTTATCTCTCTCTTGCATGTGACTCAATCGGGTTCTGCCAACAGTGCTCCTGGTATGGTATTACATGCTGAGGACCTTTAATTGAATCATTAACAATAGGAACTGGCAGCATAAAAGGGATTCAAGCTGATGATTTTCATATTACTTTCAGCTTCAGCAATCTCTCTCCCTTTTTTCAATTGTGTACTTTTATTTCATCCCAAATATGCATTTATGTTAGGATGGCCTATGTGTATATACGTGCCTGAGTGTGCGTGTGCATAAATTTGTTCTACAAAATCAGAAAAAAAATAGTGTAGCATAAGTGGAGTTTATAGGAAAGACTATTCCTTTCAAATACATTATTACATCCACACCCTGAGAGTGAACAACTATGATGGATTTGTCCGAAACTGATGCAGTGGTCTCTGATGAATAAACAAAACAAAATTCCCGTTGTAAGATTCACAAATAAATGCTCTGATTACCCATCCTACCCCCAATGCTCATCCCCACCCCCTGATGTCTACCCCCATTGAATGATCATTCTCACCCCCCCCCCCCCAAATGTCCATCTCAATCCCTGATGTCCATCCCCAATACCAATTTATTTATACATAATCCGTTGTATCTCTTTATTAACACTAAACTTACAGGACAAACCTTCATCATGCTATTGCAGAAAGAGTAAAATAATCTAGCAACATTGTCCAACCTTCATTAACTCAAATAACAAATTCACTGAAACGCTTGACCACGGCTGTAGGCATTTCTTTCTTGACCACAGGTGCTTTATGTACAGGTTAACACAGTTCTGGACAACTCCCAATTTGGTTATGGCAATAACAGTCTAGCCAAACTAGCCTTTGCCATTTACCTAATCTAATAAAAGTCTTAGGAATGTGCCTGGTCTTATGGACCATCATGTTATACTAAAAGTCTGAATCTGTTTTCACTTGACATCATTAAGTTTCTAAAACACGAAAAAAAGAAAGAACCAAGAAAAGTGGAACAGAAAGAAATTGTTAATCAAAGCCACTCTCCTTCCTTCCATTAAATTCAAATGACATTCACAGTCACAAATAGCCATGTTTGCTCTCCATTCATTTGTTTGTCATGATATCAAAATACACTTTGTGTTTAAATAAAACAGGAATCTTTAGCTGTAGAGATGCGCCTAATTACATCAGTCGGATACATTTCTTTAGAAACAGATGGCTTCAGTACGTAACCCTCCTTTTTAAAATGGATTTTNTTAAATTCAAATGACATTCACAGTCACAAATAGCCATGTTTGCTCTCCATTCATTTGTTTGTCATGATATCAAAAATACACTTTGTGTTTAAATAAAACAGAAATCTTTAGCTGTAGAGATGCGCCTAATTACATCAGTCGGATACATTTCTTTAGAAACAGATGGCTCCAGTACGTAACCCTGCTTTTTAAAATGGATTTCACTCCTAAAGTAAAATATATTCAGATGCTAAGCTGCAAAATCTCCAAGTCAAATTGTCTCCTTTAATTAGCAATGTGACTCTAATAGGAACCTTCTGCAGGTAAAGGCATGCCTGTGTTCTTTTTATTGTTTTACAAATTCATGGTATAAAAAAAAACTATTATTTGTTTCTCTTTTCTTTGTCCAAGCTAAATTTTGTTTCTGAGTAATTTCAGTACTAGTATCTCTGATCATATCTCTGTCTACAATAAAAGATGCCACTTTCCTCAGCTGGCGTCCAGAAACTGGAACAGAAACAAAACGCTTATTGCATTTTTTTGATGTAAATTACTCTAATCTAGTGTCAGATGCAGGAGATAATGCGGCAGAAATACCCAAGTGAAAAAAAAAAACAAAAAAAAAAAAAACACTTGGCCAGGCAAAAGTAAAGCAATCAACAGATATGGTATGCATTCAAATTTTTTAAACACCTTAATCTCTCAAATATTGTATATGATTATTCTTCAGTTGAATGTCTATATCTCACAAAGGTATATTTCTGTGATGTACACTACAATTTGCTTCAAAAACGAAACACAGTGGATATTATATTTGTATCATTTTGCTTTTAGCATTTGAAATTTATCATAACTAATGCCATGTTCAAATTTTAAAGAGGCATCTCAATTTACAAGCAAAGCATGAAAGGGTTTTTTGAAATTATCTAAAATAAGTTTGATGAAAAAAAAAAGATGCAACCTACTTCCATTCAGTCAATTCTTCAAAATATTACCTGTGCAGGTAAAACAAGTTAAACAAACAGGGTTCCATCCAGGTATTGGAATCCACATATTTCAAGGCCCAGAAATATCACGCTGTGTTTTGCCTCTTACATCAACCACACCACTGACTGATCTAACAGGTACAGTGAGATCTGGGGATTACGACATAAATAACTGTACAGATTTAAGGTCCAGGGGAGAGTGTGTGTGTGTGTGTGTGTGTGTGGGGGGGGGGGTGAAAATACAGATTAACAATGCAATGTCTGTCTTACTTTGTGATAGAATTGTGATAGAATGATATCTCTCATAGATATCTTCAAAAATAGTGAGTGTGGTTACATCTAGGGCCTTTTTGTGTGTGTATGTGTGTGTGTGTGTGTGTGTGTAAATATATATATGCACTTTAGCCTTAATAATGGGCTTTTTTTTCTAATTCTTACTTCTGTACCTAATTTCTAAGTATAATACTACTATGGATTAAGAAGACCAAATTTTTCACCAATCTGTTGGCATTTTTTTTTTTTTTCAAATCGGTTTCCAGCTGGTCAGTTAAGAAGTCTGAAATGCCACTCCACCTAAAGGCCACTGAGTACTAATGACCTGTATATTACCCAGCTAATAACAAGCCAGTCTGGTCAGTGCATATGACCAAAGTCCAGCTTTTAAGTGGACAGACAGACTTATTACCCACAACACTTAACATGCATACCTACAGGTAATTAAGAATGATCCTTTGCTCACCATTAAGTGTGGCTGTGATACAGAATTATCTGAAGTCATGTTGACCTTTTCATCCCTGAAGCATATTTCACCAACAAAGAATAAACTTTTAACTAATTCTACTTTTCTACATTTATAAATGCTCCTCACACACTAACTATTTTTTTTCCATTTTTGAAAATTCTGAACATAAGCTCATTAAATCTCATTCCCTAAAACAGTGCATTTATTTTCTTATTATCACCCAAGTGCAGTTACCCTCAAGTTACCAAAAATTATTTTTCTTAGTCACTGAAACCTGTGACAACTGCCCCATAACCTGCCACCAAATAGTTTGATATAATGCCCATGCAATAATACAACAACAAAAATGCTATCTTTCCATCCAACTACCCCCTT